CATGAAACAAAACGCAAAATGTTAGAAATTCATTAGTTTGACAGGAGTTTCAAATAAGAAGTGACCCTAACTCGCAAAAATAATCGAAGTAATTAGCATATGCCAATACCCCTGAGGAAAATACAGGTTGTTTCCGTGATAACGGAAGATAGTAAATTGCATCAGACTTTGATGATGCCTGATGCCCCTGTGGTCGAAAAATAGGAGCCTTTTTGTACAAATAATGCGTTCCTCTTTTTACGTTCCTTTTAACTAGGGTATCGGAAAGTATATCAGGATCAAACTTTAAACTAAATTTCAAGTTGCCAATAGACGGATGATCCAAGAACACAGCATGGCATTGCGAATAATTCTTTTGGTTATGATAAAGAAATCTTTTCAGGTGTCTTTACGGCTACCCGTTTCTTGCCTTCGAATACTGGATTAAAAAAGGCGTTCCCACAGGAAGTCCACAAAACTACAGTGAAGGCTGTCAGCCGTATCTGATCGACTGTGATGAATGCACAATTAATGCCAGGACCCCACGATGTTTGCATAAATGCTATGGTGACCCACTTTTAAATTACAAGAAGGACAAGTTTTACGGTAAGACAGGTGACATGAAACTACCTTTAATTTATGTTAAAGGCAGGCGGGCGTACGCGATGATGGGCATGAACCGCATGATGCAAGATATCTATCAGCATGGACCAATTGTCGCAGTTCTCGAATCGTATGAAGACCTGCGATATTATAAGAAAGGTATCAATATGTATGTTTCATATAAATGGATGCAAGTTTGTCATTAGCTAGTTCTTAATTCAGAATAGCTGAGTAGTGAATCACAAAATAAATACCTTTCGAGATAAAAGGTAGGACTATCTGAGACATTAGTCTTTGTTTGATTAAATCAACAACTGAGATCTTATAGCAATCGCTTGAAATTGAAGTACATTATGAATGAAGTCAATCTTGTGGTGCACAGCCTTAAACGGATGCTGAAAGCAACAAACGAATAAATGAACTATACAACAATATCTGTGAAGCTGCTTGATTTTCTGAGCAATTCTTTATGAGATTAAAAGAAGGCATTGACAATTTTAACTACAAGATTAGGCTTAAAAATTGAGTTTCGCAGTTCTGTATGCCGAATACTTTAAAGTACATGGTGCCTGTTCCGAAGAAGTTCAATAACGAATGACGCACCGGTTTGAACTCAAACGGTATACCAACAAAACAAGGTCGTCTGCAAACAGAAACCTTCTCGTCTTTCACATCTCCTACGTCGATACACTCATCGCCTTGACAGCCCCGCATTGTTCTATCCATGTAAAACAGAAACACGAGAAGGGACAAGACGCAACCTTGGTGGAGGCCAGTGTCGACGATGAAGGGTTTGGACTTAACGCATTAACTCTGACGTAGCACCTGCTATCAGAATACAGTGATTGGATGGCCCTTAGCAGCTGGCCATCAATCCCGTATGCACGAAGGCATGTCCTCAACTGTTGCGTGGGATCCGGTCATACGCTTTCTCTAAGTCCACAAAACCGGATTGGTGTGCTCCCACGATTTCTCAACAACCTGGCGCAGGGCAAATATATGGTCAGAGGTGCTTCGACCGGGCCGGAAG